CAGCTGATCGGAAATTTTGAAGATACTGCCTGACGCTGTTGCCTCCGCGATCCAAAGGGATACGCGTCCGTTGAAACAAACTGTTCACTATAAGACGGCATCATGACAGAGATTAGCATGACATATTAAGTTCTGCCGATGCAGAATTCGAAGCACTAGGGAAGGGCAAAGAAAACGGCTATCTGAGGGGATTACCGAGTTTCTATGTTAAGCGGAAGAACTAGCTGCCAAATGTATCTTGGAGAGATGCGCGGCTTTCTCGACGTTCGATCTTGAATAAGTTTTCGCTTTCAACGATTAGCAAGTTATTACGTACAGATTATTCCACACGGCCGCGCTTAGCATCGGCAAGCATTAGATGACGCTAGATAAGAGGTCAACAGAAGTCTGCGTAATGAAGTGCTAATGTCGAAAATCGACTCATTACCGTACGTTAATAAAAGGCCAACGAATAAAATTATAGCAGTGGTCAAAAGTGTCGAAAGAGTAATTAATTTTGAATTTCGCCTATTCTCAAGTCAGGTGGAACGAACCAGTTCAAAGACCGTCCGTAGCCGATCGATTTACACAGTTCGTCAGGTTGAAGAAGATGCCAGAAGCGTAGGAGAGTTCTTCGACGATTCCTCTGTCGCAAAAAATGACGCTAAAGACCTGCGGAACTATCAGCCCATCAATCTCCTGTGACTGGTCTACAAGGTCTTTGCCCGAATCATCATCAGCCGGATCCGGAAACACCTGAAGCTGCTCGAAACGGTTCCTCGCCGTGGACTACGTCGATGTCAAATGAAGTTAAGTGAAGCAGTCAACAGACAAGTGCAAGCGACACCAGTCCCGCCTCTGCTGCAGATTAATCGACGTCAGAAAAGCCTTCGATTCCATCGAGCTCAGCTCCATACTTAAGGTCTTGCACGACTGTGGTATCAACCCTGTCTACGACGACCTGATTGAAGAACTAAATGCTGACATAGCAACCAACATCACGCTGTTCGAGGAATCGTGTCGAATCAGCATCAAAAGAGAAGTAAGCCAGGGAGTCACCATCTCTCCTAAGCTTATCGTGACGCGCTTCAATCCCTCAGTAACCGTCTGAACTGAGT